GCAGTTAAATTTTTAAATTAGTGTGCATGAAATATTACAAGCAATCAGAAAAAAACAAGTCTTTGATTAGTATCTTAGCAATGAAATCCTGAAAATGTTATTTTCTATTTGCAGCATTTGTTAACTGCACTGTGTTTTTGTGTTACTCATTAGTGTGAGAAATGCCGGAGAAGAAAAAAAAAAAAAAAAAACTGGGTGTCAAAGAGCTAAGGTCAGTGTTTAAGAAGATTCAGGAAGTATCAAATCTCCAACAAAAGCTGCAACCCTTGAATCAGCTAAAAAGCGTGACAACGTCCGAAGGAAAGAGAACAGAGGAAAAATCAGTCTTGTATCCACACAATAAAACAGGGGCAGGGAAATGAAAGTCACAGAAGTGTTATTCCACCTGCAACAGCCAAAATGCTTTCTCATATCTGTGATAAAGCCGACTGGAAGCCACTGCAAACAGTTAAAAAACAAATTCCTATAACTGAGAAATCCACAATTATGAAATCTCATTCCCCTTTCAAAAATCTTTAGCCATTAACTTCTAGATGAATGACATGATGCCTCCTTTAAAACAAAAAGATATTTCAACTCAAGCAAGGTAATAAAGGACACTAAGACAAAAGCATTTACTGGGAGTGAAAAAGAATGAGAAGATGTTAATAAGGAGAAAGGACAATAATAAAATAGGATTCAGGCACAGAGAAGATGGCGATTGGTGTTGCATTTAAATCTATGAAGGTGGCAGCAAAACAAAAGATGGAAGAAAGTTCCACAGGCAAGAGAAGCGTGAGAAAAGAAACTTTAGAATAGAACTTAGTTACATCTAGCTAGTTCAACAGTAAAATGGTGAGACCTAGATGCCAGTCTAGTAGCATACTTAAATTCATGCAACTGAGGCACCAAAAAGGAAAGCTCACCAGAACAATTGCCATGAAAATATTTTTAGAGATGACAGAGAGAAACCCTGCCATGGTGGTAGCAAAGTGAGATGCCAGGTCAGGACTGCTTACATTACAGGCTCTATTTTAGATCTTGTCAAGAATCTTAAGGTATATAGTATGGAGCACCAGACAAGATATGACAACTATCACTTTTGAAAACAAAAGAGAACTCAAATGAAAGAATTTAGAGCAAATGGGAAAGTGATATGCAAATCATTTGCTATCATTTAAATAGAAAATATTTAAATAACATTATGTTGCCAAATATATACTGAAATTAACAAAAAAAAAAGACAAAACAAAACAACAAAAAAAACAACAAAAAGACAAAAAAAAAAAAAGACAAAACAAAAAACAAAAACAAATTAGCTGAATGGAATATAAGAAAAGAATTAAAGAGAAATATAGCAAAAAATTAAAATATATGCATAAATGAAAAACTCACAGATTATAGAATTCAAGAAAAAATACCTATTTTAAACTGTTAGTTTAAAAAACAAAAAAAAAAAAAAAAAAAAAAAACAAAAGTGAAAATATCTTAGGAATGTGACTGAAAAAGTACTACAAATAAGACAAAATGTTATTTTTTTTTAACATCGCAAAACTCTTTTAAAGAAATTTAAAATAGATCAATCTTATATACATAAGCAAAGGAATATATACATATTATTGCACATTGAATACTGATGTTAATAAAATAATGATTGATAAAAAATAACAGATCTATAAATTATATATTAATAATAAAAATATATTTTCCCCATCATTGGTAGTACAACTCGATCTTCAGGTTAAAACTTCTGGTTACATAATTCATGTAGTTTATGATTATGATGATAATCTGGTATATTATGTAACTGTCAGTTTTGAATTAGCATCTGAAGATTGTGTTGTAAATAAAACTCACTTGTGCTACCAGTGAGGAAAAAAAACCCCAAGAAAACGTATATTCATATGTGCACGTATATTTATAAACACCATGAAAAAGTTTTTGTCCACTTTTTTATTGTAAATATCTAATAATTGCTTATAAGTGACTGTTTCATATTGTGCTTTCTACAGATGAAGTATAAGTGATATTGGTGATAGTCAATTATTATGTTTTGTAGCAGGGGGCTCTAAATAAGATGAAAAAATACAAGACAACTTCACAAAATGGCTGTGCAAAAATACCAAGATAGCTGACAATTTTGGTTCTAATCACTTACTGCTATAATGAAGATTTTTTTTTGAAAAAAAAAAAAACAAAACAAAAAACAAAGAAATCACAAAACACATAGGAAAGCTGGACAAGAATATGAGTCAGTGAGTAAAGCTAAGGAAGGAATTCAGAATTTTAAAAAGTGGCATGTCAAAAAAACAAAAAAAAAAAAACAACTCAAAGTTTTAAGCTACTGGTAATGTCTCAGACTGGCCAAGATATGGTAGTTTTCAAAAGGTGCAGCATAAGAGTACGGAGACTGACAAGGACAACACAAGTTTACCCAAAGAAGACATGCAATGGATGAGTGCAACTTGTCTAATTTGGTGTGAAAACAACTCAAAGTTTTAAGAAAGTAATTCAAAAAGAATTTGAAAGTTGTATTAAGAGTGTCAAAGAGTTATGGAATTATGGAATGCAGATGTTTGGAATAAGATGATATTCAACACTCAAAAGGTTGAGCTAATCTCTAATAAGTAAGAAGTGAAAACTGGGTATAGATAAAAGTGATAATTCGAAACAAAAAAAAAAAAAAAAAGAAAATTCAGGAGAGCTTGAATAGTGCCAAGTCCATTCAGTTGCTGAAGGACCATTTGATACCAGACTTGGATGAAGGTGAGACTTTCTAGAATGACAGAAATCCATGACAGATTGCAGTCAACGCTTGATTGATGAAGGTGCCACCATATGGAGACTTTTGCACATCCATTTTTGGTAGTTTTCATGCACCTTAACCTCATATTCAGAACTCCAGCACCCAAAAAAAATATCATAATTAGGCACGCAAATGTCAACTTGCAATTATTAGAAATTTACAATAATTTAAGGTGACTGAAACATTTGCAGACTACTATATGTGTGTGTGTGTGTGTGTGTGTGTGTGTGTGTGTGTGTGTGTGTGTGTGTGTCATTCACAGACAGACTGTTTCGCTGTATCACAGCTCTTCAGTGTGGCTAGACATCCGATTGCTTCAAGCTGGTATTGAAACCCGACTGCTTTGGCATCAGTCAGTGATCCTACTCCTAGTCTATTGTCTGTCTGTCTGTCTCATATATATATATATATATATATATATATATATATATATATATATATATATCTATCTAGACTAGCTTGGACTGGCTTGGCCTGGACTTGCTAGGACAAGTCATGACCAGCTTTGACTAGGCTCTGACCAGCTTGGACAAGCTATGACCAGTTTTGGACCAGTGGCCCTTGAGTGGAAACACTCGGGTCTCCCACGTTAAACGACCTTGTGTCACATCTTGACCCCGTGGAAGTTAAGTAAATACCACTCCTAGTCTATTGTCTGTCTGTCTAATATATATATATATATATATATATATATATATATATATATATATATATATATATGTGTGTGTGTGTGTGTGTGTTATAGCCACTGTCTGTCTGTTATCAAACTCCTCCTAGGGTTTTGGAAATAGACCCCCATAACCATATATTTTGTGAAACTACACTACCCAAGTTACTTGGATAAGTATATTTCATTTTGATCAAAGGGGGTCCCTGGGGGACACAAAGCCTAAACTGACCCCCCGCCGATATAAATTAAATTTAAATAAGGGAATGACTCCTAGGGTACTTGGATAAATATATTTCATTTGGATCAAAGCGTGTGCCCCACCCCTTCTTACATTTTTTCCCTTTAATTTAAATTTAAACTCCTATCCAAAATATAGGAGAAAGCCAGAAGATGGAGGTCACAGTGGCAAGTTCATTGAATAATATGGAAAAACATTTTTCTCCACAAATTATAACAATGATTTAAAACTAATCATCATTTTCTTACAAAAAATGTGACATACAGTAAGGCACAGGCAATTCAGCTAGTATTATATATTTATATGTCTTCTGACTAAATTGAAACATGAAAAGATTTTGAAGTCACAATTTTCAGACACACTGGTGTTCGTTTTCAACCTGATGAATAAATAAACTAAGTGGGACTCACTCTTCCTGGAAATAATGCTGTTATTGGTTAGAGGGCTCATGTTATAAAATAGCAAAATGAATAACACCCAGCCTAAATTGAGAAGTCCTACAAAAGTAAAAAAGGGCCTCCAATCGGAATTGATCATGCATCCCCCCCCCTGCACACACACACTTAGAGAAACCACTTTTTGACCAAAAAGTGTGCCTGTACCACTTTGACCATGGAGGCCAGCCTGACAAATATTAACTATTAATGTTTCTCATTGGGAATTTCTGAAATCTATATCTGTAAGCTTTATGTACCCAATACATAAACAAAATTTTTGAAAGGAGTATCTGACATTATTTCTCATTACTATAAACATTACATTATAGTCAGTACACATGGTGAGTTGCTATCTCAATTTTTTTCTTTATTACTCAGATTAAGAAATTAGAGAGTAAAGTTTAGATTCCAGTTGAGTTTGTGACATTCATTTACATGCAAATGCCTTGGGAAAAGTGTGAATTCATCTGTCCACTGCTTTAGGTAAATAGAAGGACAGACTGGACCCTGTAGCCATGGTTGGCAACCAGTCGAGAAGGACCTGTGAATACAAAACCTGTGGTGGCTTGCTTGGAGATCTGTACACAATGTGCAACAGTTCTCTGTATTCGGTTCTTCCAAGAAGTATAGTTGGTTCTGCACAAGCCTTCACTACTATAATCAAATAAGTCATGATACTCTGGCTGTTTGTTTCTAAGAACAAGCTGCTATATGCTCATGACGTGAAAATGACAGGGGACTCCAGTATTTGAATACATGCACGAAAAGGATGGTAAAGAAAGAACAACCAGGAATGGTAGGGAGGAGATGAATTGATAGTAAAACTTTACCCTAGAACCATGTTGAATTCAGTCACACGAAATGACTTACCTGTCAAGATCTTCCATCTTGGGAAGCCAGGTTTCTGTAATTCTGCAAGAAACAGAACTGGTTAAATCTAACAATATACATTTTGCTGAATTTCATCTTGCACCTTAACTCTCCCCCAAACAAAATTGGTATTAATCAACTGATGCTGGTAAAATCTGGATATACATATATCTTTTAAACATGTTTGGTTGAATAATATCGACAAGTTCTGTCTGTCAAATTTCCGAATTATTATTGATAAATTTTCTAAAAAGATCATTTATTTTATATTAAAACCAAGTGCTTTCAAATGTTGCTACATTCGTTTTCAAGGAGAAAGATGCTTTATTTAAAGTTGGCTGCTTTTCTTATTACAACAACCTCCAGAATTTAGAGTCTTTTTTGCACTGTGTCCTATATAACATTTTGATGTTTTCTACTAAACTTTTTAAGTAATATTTTTCATATGGTAATAATGTGTGTTTATATATATATATATATAATTTGTCACTTAGCTGATTGATGTTATTCTCACCATTCCAACTCCAGAGTTTTATAGATTTTATAGATGAACCCTCCACTTGTCAGGAGAGATTTTTACCTTATATAGGATAGGAATGTGCAAAGCATTTTTAAGTGAATTTCAAAGGAAATATTTTGATATTTGCATATAGATATATTCCTCAATATGTGCACTATTTTGTCCCACTACATTTCACAATCTTTGAGGCAGCTTCAGGATTCCATTTTCCAAGAACTTGCCATCTTTCTGGGTGATGACCTGGTCTAAGTGGATTTTACAGGCTTCTAGACAATTAAAGTTCTTCCCATGAAGAGAATTTTGTAGAAATCAAAACAAGTGATAATCAGAAGGTCAGGTAAGGAGGGCAGGTTTAGCAGGATATCCCAGCTGAGTTGTACCAATTTTTGTAGGGTTTGCAAAGAGACTTGTAGTCCGGCATTGCCCTGACGAGAGAAGACATCCTTCCAACAGGCCAACTTTGGATGCTTTTTATCAATTGCTGCCTTTAAATAGCCAACTGCAAACAGTACTAGTCTGAATCCAACGTCTGATTTTGCAAGAACCCCAAATACACAATACCCCCCAATCATACAAGATACACAGCATTGCCGCTTTTGAATACAGACCAGACTTCAGAGTATTTAGTGGCAATACAGGATCAAATTCTCTTCACATTATTGTAAAAAAAAAAAAAAAAAAAGTAAAAAAATCCTGTTTCCAACACCTGTGATTCTTCTTTTTAAAAAATGGGTCATTTTTGTTGAATTTAAGCAGAGAATTGAAGATGGAAATGTGGTTCATTAAATCATGGAGAACCCAAACAATACAAGCCATGTATTCAAGCATCTTGAAAAGCCTTACAATGCTCATCTGAGATATGTGGAGTATCCTTGCAATGTCCAGTGACATGTGATCTGGATTATTTCTAACCAGCATTTTGATTTGATCATCAATGACAGTTGATTCATGAGAATGTTACGGAGTAAAATTTCTATTTTTGAACCCAGCAAACTATTTACAAATGGCAGCATCTCCATAATAACATCTTTTGACTTTTGGACAGTTTATTATTATTATTATTATTTCCAGATATAAAACAACAGTAAATCCTGAAAATGCATCTCATCTTCTACCATTTTCAGTTTTAACATAAAAAGCATTTAAAACAAAAAAAATCACAATCCACATAGAAAAATGTATTGAAATGTCAACTTTTAGAATTTTTCAATCATGTGAAATGAAATCCCACATTCAAATGCCACTTATTGAAAAACACTACAAAGTTTTGTCCCACCCATGTTATTAGAAATATTTTCAATAACTTATTTGATGTTTTCAATAAATTATGATTTGTTTTTACAAGAAAAAAATATTTTCTTTTTTAGTTGGACATAAGTTAGATTTTGCCTTGGAATATCTTACAAAGCAAAAATAATATACATAAATAAGTACTGTATATACTCACACAGCATGTGACTTTTGAAGACCTAATTTTGAAGCTAATTTGACTACAGTAAATGGATATATATTTTGGTCAATGGCGTAACCAGAGCCAGCAGTACATACGCTAATTTTATATCTCATGTATGATGTGAACCTCTTAAAATTAGCTTCAAAATAAGGTCTTCAAAAGTCACATGACGCATAAGTATATATGGTAAATATAAAATGCTGCAGTATCTCATAAAAGTTACTTAGAATAAAACCTTTCTGAAACAGTAATGTTTATGGTTATATCATGTTGAAACACTGGTTCTCAAGTCAAGCAACATTGACCCTGGTCAGTAGCTAGAGGAGTGACTGCTTGGGAATAACGTAAGCTTGAATGTGCAGGTGATATAATGTATAACAGGCCAGAATTGGAAATCGGAGAGCAGAGTTCCAATTCTAACTGGGTTGGTTATATTCACTTACGTGCAATTACCCTTGGGAAAGGTATGCATCCACTTCTCCAACCAGCAAAGGGTTAATTAATAGGACTTGCATCAGTAAATCATTAACTCCAAAAAATTCTTACAATCTAAAAATATTTTCTGGCTTTAAATAATATGAAAAGGTTAAGCTATAAAAGATAAATCAATATTGAAATGGTAAAGCTATATTGAAGTCAGTGTTTGACAAATTACTCTAGATATTTCAGATTCGAAATGAATGCTAATACGAGTATATTTTTTGTTTTTAGAAAATTGAAAAAGTTAAAATAAAAGGCTTCATTAAAATTTGTATATAATTAAAGTAGGTGCCCCAACTTTTTTGCTGAAAAAAACAAAAAAAAAAAACAAAAAAAAAAACAGCATAGCATGACAAAAAAAAAAAAAAAAACTTCATAAAAATCAAAGTTTTATCAAATGTTTATTTTTTTTTATTCTTAAGAGGAAAGACAAAAATATTTTTTTACTATTTTATTAATTTTTTTTAATCCTTTCTAACACGTTTGAAATTTTGGTTAAAATGCTTTTGTTTTTTTTGTTTTTTGCACCAGCTGCCAATGTAATATTTATGATTAGCATTTAAATGCCTTTTTATCCAGTGAAAAGCAGTGATTTTGGAAATTCTTGCAAAAATCAAATAATTGTCAGATTTTAATTAAACTTTCAGGACTTATTCACAAATGAATTAAATTATTTTGGGAATTTTTTTTTTTTTAAGAAAATCTTGGTAATTTTTTTTTCTTTTTTTTGTTACCACCACCCACTTAAAGTCATGAAATTTTGAGAAATTAAATTTTCATCTCAAAATTTGTTTTATTAGTTAAAAGCAGAACTCCTGGGAGAATGTAAATCATCATTTTAATTTTTTCAGACTCATACTCATTTTCCAAAGATCTGCTTTGAAAAAAATGCAATAATTATTGAATTTGAAAAGCTTTTAATTGCTTTTATAAACAGGATTTATTAAGGGCACTATTGTCTTAAGAAAACTTCTTTTCCTGATAAATAATGAATTTTTACAAGAATCGTTTTCATTTTTTTTAATTTTAATAATTTATCATGTTTTTAAGTTAAAAAAAAAAGAAGTTAATTCTTTAACTCATTAGGTAATAAAATAATCAAAAATTGAAAAGCTTAATACAAATATTTTGCACCAAGATTTTTTAAAATAATTTTAATTTTATATTGTAGAACAACAATCTGTCATTGCCTTGTCAATCATATAAAAGATGATGATGTCAGTTAAAAAACACAGCTACTGTTTTAAAAATGCATTTCTGTTATTTTAAACTTAAATAATATTTGTTTTAAATCAGATTACTTATACTTTAAATCAGCTAATATTCCTCAAATAAAGTTTTAGGGAAGTATATTTTATTTTTGGAAGATTGTTTTAATATAGAGAATTACATTGTGATGAAAGATGACTAAAAAAGGGTACTAATCAACTATTTTAGAAATATAATTTTTGTTTGAAATACACCAGTATATTTTGCTTAATGGAGAAATAATAAATTTAATCCTTTAGCTTTCATTTAAATCTAAAATGAAAGTTTTTTTCATTTATAAAAATTATTTTTAAAACCTTAGTTATCGTCAATTAGTGGAGGTACGTAAATTAAAAGTAGTGGAGCACAAACATAAACAGAAACAATTTAAATTCAATTACAGATCAAGGGCAGCAACTATAAAAACGTAGTATATGAGTGACCTCCCTTGAGTATTTATAATTACCGTTTTGTCACTACTGTTTTTGTAATAAATGAATAAATTTTGGCACAACGTTTTAGAAAACATGTCAGACTGGAAATAAAGATAGAAATTTCATATTTTCTAAATGCTTCTGTTCAATATGGACAATCGTTACATAAATATTCAGGGTTATTGAGGCACAAGACACATTTTTATTTTGATAATTTATAGAAGAGAACCAGGCTTCATTACATTAGTTTATGTACAAAATGTATTTGAAAATCTAAGCAGAATTCATACTGAAAAATTATATTCAAGAAATGTTTAATAATTTGAACATAACTATTAATGTACTGTAAAATAGAGAAATGTATTTTATAGAAATTGTTTTCTTTCAAAAGATTCAAGTTGCTTTGTGCGCAACCACAATACTGATAATGAACTACTTCAAATAAAAAGTAATTTTTTTACACTGCTCATTCTTGACAGCTACATGTGTATTTTTATTTACACAAATCTTGAATTTGTGGCATCACCAATTTAAGAAAAGTGTTATTCAATTAACCTTAACAGTTAACTAAATTACCAATCAGAAAAGTAGTCACTATTATCTTTAATGACACCAGAGCCTGATTGAAAAAAATGTCTCCATTCTTGAGGCAATAAATGTAGATTAAAAATTAAGATTATTTTAATATACGTCTTTACATTCATGTCGATTGTTACACTTGCAACATTTGTACCATTTTGTACTTTTCCAGGTGCCTGTCATTCTCTTTGGTTGACTTCTTGGTATTTTGAATTGTACCCCTTTATTCTCTCCACTGCTAAATTGCTCTTGTTCTGCTTTCCATGCTTGGAGGAATATTTTGGATCAGTTAATACTCTCCAACATATCCGCCACCTGTCCATTTCTTCTCTTGAACCAGAGTTCATGACCTTTCAACATTGGCCGACCCAGGGATTGAACACTCAGCTGCCAAAGATTCATAGGTGTTTTTAATCAAGTTTGGTAATAGAATACCGAATAAATAAACCCACATTTTCAAGTCTGGCTCCACTGTCAGAAAGATGCTTAAAAACAAGGACCAGAATAATATACATTTGTTGTAGCTGGTCAACCAACAAGATTATTCTGGCAACACTTGAATTCAGACCAAATTAACAACTGCAAATAATATCAGTTTCTGATAGGTTTCTAATGACCGTGTCTAGAATAGTAGTTTTCAAACAGTGCGATGCAAGAGGATAGCAGGTGAGGCAGAATGGTTCAAAGACTGTCAAAGATTTAGAAAGTTTCAAAAAATTCATATGCAAAAAATAAATATGATTTAAAAAAATATTATTGTGGATTACTTGTAATTGCATGCATGAGTCCCAGTATAAATAGTTATAAATAATCATTGGGATATTTTTTGCATTAGATCAAGTATTAAGAATATAGCAATTAGGCTTTGCAAATTTCCTCTATCTTTATTCCATCTTCTACTTAAATAAGTTAAAAAAGTAAAAGAGAATGATAAAAGTATTGTTAGTAACACTACACTCAATGCATAAACACGTACAGCCATAAACAATTGAACAAAAAGCAACTAAACATCTTATAAACATAAACAATAGAAAAGATGCATATTCGCTATGTTTGTATTTTATAATACGAAACTAATATGTAAATATTACATGCGTTATTGGATATAGGTAAGTAAAAACATTGGTTTTATCAAAGGCATGTTTATTTTAAATACACCTGTACTTTCTGACTACAGTAAATGGATATATAGTTTGGTCAACAGTATAGCCAAGGCCAGCAGTACATATGCTAATTTTATATCTCATGTATGATATGAACCCCTTATATTAGCTTCAAAATTACATCTTCAAAAGTTGCAGGATACGTTAATATATATGGTAATTTCATTTTATGATGAAATCATGACCCACCCCCTCAAAAAAAAATAAAAATAAAAAAATAAATAAATGCATCTATCAGTATTCAGCAGAAATAGTGGAAAATTGCAAAATAAATAACGTATTTAAAACATGGTTTAGAGAGGTAACAGTACTTGATATTACTTTCTAAATATGGTTTAGAGAGGTAACAGTGCTGCTCTTACCTTTTATATCGTATTTTGTTGATTTGATACAGGCCCTGTAAATATAAAGCACACAAAAGATTCCAAATATAGTCTTCATTATCAGTTAAAATTAAAAATTTGAAAAAAATAAAATTACAAATGTATAGAAGGGCAAAAACATGAATTTCATAACAACAAAAATTACTTTCTTCTAAATTTGTAAAAACTTATAAAATCAGTGATTGAAATACACAGTAGTTGTGAGTGTACTTGAAAAATTGTTATTTTCAAGTACACTCACAAGTACCCTGGACCAAGTGTATTTTAGTCATTGATTCCAAGACTGGAGATGATGTATCTACTGTCTTGAAAGAAACCTAAAGTCTAATGATAATTATACCTATACATCGATCCTCAACCAAACTTTTTTACCATATTGCAGTATGATTCTTGATTTTGCTGGTGTGCACCAAAAACTGGGGAAGGGCATGCTCACAAGGATGAAACACAATGAAAGATAAATGCCACATCAAAAAATAAGAACACACTGTTTTCCCCATAAGGAATTTTATCCTGGATTTCGCTTGCATGTCCAGTGGGAGGCGGGGGTGGGTAGGTAGGTGACACTTGAAACAACTTCTGCTATGTCAGTTATTCTCCCCTACCAACTCCTTACCCAACTATTCATCTTGATGGCATAGCAATATCAATGGAGGCTTCAAAAACCATGTGTCAGACACATTCATCTCCTGCAGAGGGTGGACCAGAACTCTTCCCGACCCACAACATGACTGCTAACATAAACTAGCACCCGGATATGCCCTATTTCCAGTTTTGTGGCCACTTGATCTCCAAAAAATCCTTCATCCAGTTGGCTCCAAAAAGAATGAACTTCAAAAGAAACCATCTGCTGGTCTATCAAATTTGAGATCAAGATAAAACAACTGTTTCCCTTTCTACATGAATATCCATAGGATCACAATAACAAAGGAAGTATTTATTTTACACAAAAGATATTTTTCAACATAACTCAATGTTTCTTCAGGTAACATTAAATCAAGATTCAGCTAACAACTGTAACCAATTACAGAATTATTGATGCATCCTCAAGCACACCAATACTAAAATGAGTGGTGATGATTACAGAAATAGTACAGTGGGGGGCAAAGGAAAATATATATCCATAAATAATATCCTTTTCATCTTATTGATTAAATATCACAAAGAATGGCAATAGAAACAATTAACTTTTTCAGACAATAAAATATCTGTAGATTGATAATAATAAAGTCTGTGCATTAAATTTGATCATGAACAACTTTAATTGGAAACTAAAGGACAAAAAAATGACCATTGTTAAAGGCAAGTAAGAATTGTATATATCATATTTTTTTTTTAATCATTTCACCCCAACTAAAGAAATAATGCCACTCAGGTGTCAGGGGCTACTGAGAGTGAAAGTAAAGAGAAAAGACAATAAAAGAACAGGGTTCAGGTAGACAGAAAATGATGGGTGACATTGCATTTAAATTTTTGAAGATTGTAACTGGAAGAGAAACAAGTTCCACAGTTGAGAAGTGCAAGAACTATCAAATAAAACTTATGGTTACATCTAGCTATGTTAACATTAAAGAATGAATGAATTGTTGGGTTTAATGCCATGTCAACCCTCATTAGATCATTCAATGCCAAAAGGTTAATTGTTTCATTGTAAGGTATGCACATGATTGGATTGTTGGATTTAATGTGATATCAGACTTTATTAGTTCTTCCAATGCCAAAAATTTGTTGTTTCATTGTGAATTAATCTACACATACAGGGTTGGATTGTTAGGATTAATTGGCAAATCAACCTTTATTTTTTTTTTATCTGGATATGAGGGAATCTTCCCAGTAGCGCTAGGCCAAGTAGTACATCCACAGCCCATCAAAGATGTCAGACTGTTTCAACGGCTACAACTATTGCAATCATACCTGCCTAAAAAACCCGATATCCCTGACGAACCCCAATACCCTGTCTGGTTCAGTGCTATCAAAAAGATCCATCATATTATTTGTTTTGTAATGTTTCACCCAGGACTGGTGAAAATCAGTGCAGTCTATTAGGATGTATTTAAATGTGTATGGCTCCCGACAGGCCATACGTATTGGGTTTTTTTCATTTTTAAGCAGGTATTGATGTGTGGGGCATGTGTGCCCTATATGGAGTCTGGCCAGGACCACTTCTTCTGTTCTTGTTTTTCAATAACCTGGGAGCCATTCTCTGTTGAGTTGTTGTTTAATGATTGTTGCCACTTTCTCATAATGTACTTTTTAATATATGGTCATAGGTCTGTGTATGGGATTTTAGCATTAGATGCGGGAGGGCACAGACCCAGTAAATTTTTAGCTGCCTTATCAACTTCTTCATATCAGCGAATGCAATTGTGATTAGGTATCCAGCAGAAGGTGATGTCTTTTTTTTTTTTTTTTTTGAAAATTGATTTTATTTAAAAGTTTTATGATTAAAGGATTTGAGGTGTGTCTGTTTTTCAAAGAGATAAATATGGATTTTGAGTCGGAGAAAATTATTAATTCATTATGTTTTTTTGAGGTTATAATTTCTAGTGCTTAGTATCTTGGCACAGTAGATTGAATTTCCACCGGGCAACTGTTTCATTGTTTTAAAATTGTTTTTTTATGGCAGCACATCCTACTTTTCCCACTGATTTTGGATCCATTTGTGTATATGTATGTGGTTTGGATATGTGTATTTCATGGTTTGTAATTCTTCTAGAGAGGTCAATGGATTTGTTTTTGATTTTTGGAGGCTTGTAAGCTCTAGTAAGTTTTAGTAACCAGGGTAGTGTATTTGTGATGATGTGTTGTGTTCATTTGGGCTTCATTGGTGAACTCTTCTATCTGTAGAGTGAATGGAGTTTTCCTTTCATTCAAACAAGGATTTATTTTGAGGGTGGAACACACTATGTTTGCTGGGTTTGAGGACAATTTTGTGTAATATTGTAGAGCCAGTTTCTGCCATCTTAGTGCTCATGACGTTTCATCTGCTTCTACATATAGGGCTACCCAACTGGGGGTGTGCTGAAAGCACCCCCCCCAGTGCAAGCCTAAGTCCCTGATGGTGTATGGTTTCTAATTCTTTTGCATATGTTTTTCTGGTTGCTCCATAAATGAAGCAAGCATAGTCAAGTTTTAACCGTATCAATGATCAGGAGGGTCTTAAAGTATTTAGTCGGCTCCCCACTCAGTGTGAGCTACTACTCTGAGTTGCATTGCTTTGTTGCATTTTACTTGTACATGTTTGATATGTGGGATAAATGAACATTTTTTTGTCTAGTATGAGGCCTAGATATTTGTATTCTTTGACTACAGGTATTACTTCATTATCCAATTTTAGGATGGATTCATTTGGAAAAAGTGTATGCACTTGGTCTGATCTTTTGAAAAGTTCAAACCATTTTCTGTGGTCCCACCTGTCAAACCTATTGCGGCAGAGTTGGAGTTGATGCTCCATTATGTGCATGTCTTTTGATTTGGAGTAAATCAAGAAATCATTCACATAGAATGTGCAGTCAGTCCTGGTTTTAATGTTTTTCACTATGTCATTTATTTTTCGTTAAAAAGGGTAACCAATAGCATGCAACCTTGTGGCACCTCCATTTCTTGTTCCTTTTTGATCAAAAGTGTGTCATTTATCTGTATTTTGAAATGCCAATCATCCAGAAAGTTAGAAATAAGTATTGGCATTCTGCCTATCAGTCCCAGGTCCTTTAAATCTTTTTTTTTTATGCCATGTCGTCAGGTTATGTTGTATACCTTTTCTATATCAAAAAATATTACTGTTGGGTGTTTTTTCTTTTTTTTATGAAAGCCTCACGCATGGAAATTTCCAATCCCACTATGAGTTCGATAGGGATTCTTTGTCTTCTGAAACCTGACTGATACTCTGTTATTAAGTTATTAGTTTCCAGGTACCATACAAGTTAGTTATTTATCAACCTTTCAAATGTTTTACAGACACAGCTTGTAAGTGCAATGGATCAATAATTTGTGGGTCTGTGGCATCTTTTGTGGGTTTCAGTATGGGAATTACAATGGCTTCTTTCCAAATTTTGAGGATGCTTCTGGTAAATGTTTTATGAATTCATAGTGAATATTGTCTAGTCCAACAGCTGTGTTGTGGGCTTTGTTTAGTACTTCTTGGATTTCTGTTTTTGTGAAAAGTTGGTTATAGATTTCTTCATTTTTGGAATAGAATTTGAATTTTTTTTCTTTATTATGCTTGATGACCAGGAATTCTTTTGTCTTATTTTGTAGAGAGGAATTTTGTGCAAATTTTTCTGCAAGGTTATCAACTATGTCTTTCTTTGTAATTTTTGTATAATTGTGGATACGGTGTTTGGTGTGGGTCTTGCAATTTTTCCCTGGTATTTTCCAGAATCAACAGTAAAACAATGAGACCTAACTGTCAATCAAGAAGTACACTTAAATTCATGCAGTCGAGGTACAAAAGAGGAGAGCTCATTATAACAAATGCCATGAAATTATTTATGGAAAAGACAGAAGGAAGCAGTGTAATGGTGGTGGGAAGCCAAGATGCCAAGTCAGGATTGATAACATTACAGACTCTTCTTTGGATTCTGTTGAGAATCTCAAGAAATATAGCAGGAGCACCAGACAAGATATGGTAGCAATAATCAAGACATAGAGGAATGGCAGATTTATAAATGTTACTAGCTTAAGTTGCCCTATTGAACAGCATTTAAGGTACCTCCTGCAAAGGGCTTTTGATTGGACCTTCAGCTTGTTCAGGAGTTTCAGAGTCCCTAAGTATTTGCATATTCTCAGCACTGGAAGCTCTCCTGGCTAACGTTTAATTTTGGTTTTCATTTACACAGGATTTTCTTTTCCTTGCTGCAGTCTTGGCTCTTTTGATTGCAATCTGCTCCTCTGTGATGAAGATTTTTTTTGCAAGGCATACTACTGCCGTATTCGACAAAAGAAGTCAAAATTGATCACTGCATTTAAGTATTGCATTAATATTTAAGCTTTACCTTTTAAAAGTTCAGTGATAATTCTTATGCTGTCACTTAATTTAAAGACAATTTGATGTATGTAGGGCTTTTCTTTCCATAAAAACAATTATTTTTATTTCATGGGTGACAATCACAATTAATTTTGATTATCACATATTTATTTCCAAGTTATAAAAATTATCATACAACAAAATGAATTGTAAAAAAAAAAAAAAAAAAAAATTGCCAAAAACAATCACAATAATGAAAACTTAGGAATCCAAAATTTCAGGATTGTGGGTTCAGATCTGACCTGCAATGCTATTAATTTGTTCACAGAGTCAGCCCGATTCCAAAATGCTATGATATGTTGGGCTACAACCACTAGGAATAAAGTCGAAAAAGTGTGACACACTGATATTCACATTTACTTATATAGAAGATGGAGTCTAGTGAGAAAAATTGTTTGGCACAACATAGTGAACCAATGTTCCTAGCAGCAGACCTAGCGATTTAATATAATCACTTCATGTCAGTGGAAAACTATGTTCTCTGAGAACTTAGCATCAATTTTGCCAATAGCAAATATGGTTATGGCCATATCAGTACCACTTGGGAATATCAGGTGCTGTAAGCTTGGATGTGCAGGTGGTGCAATAAATAATGATTCAGAATGAGAAATCAGAGAGTCAAGTTTGATTTCCAGTAGACTTTACTGTGTTCCCTTATACAAGAGATAAATTCACACATTTCCCAAGGGTAAATACCCTTGGGAAATGTGTGAATTTATCTCTTCTATACCCCCTCCAGCTATGGGAAAACAGCAGTGCAGACTGAGCTCTATAGACTCGGTTGGTAACTAATCTGGTTAAATGATGGAGAAAGTGTGCATTGCAGGCCACATGTAATTGAACACTTTAAACAATTCACTTTAGGTTGTTCATTAAAACCATAGAATCTACTGAACACTCATCTGTTGTTCTTCACAGGAGAATCCATCCATTCATGTAAATTTTATCATCAGAAATAAAGAAAAATTCCCACTATATAACATATAGGATAAGAGAAAAAAATATTCCTAGGAGCATATACAAAATAATTAAAACATCAGATATTTTTCCAAAACATATCTATGACTATCATATAATTAAAAGACAAATCAAGCACACACAAATATCTTAAAGGGTAAATACCTTGATTTTTCGTTTCAAGATTTCAGCACAAGATATTGCCTTTGGTATCGCAGAACCACTTCCTGTCCACACAATTTGCTTTGTTGTTGGTTCCTGGGGGAGAAAAAAATACAAGAATTCTGACAATTGAAATATAGCTGGCCAAAATGTATCCACATTAAAGTAACATTCAAGTTATATTAATTGGAATTAACCCAAATTTGAAAGATGAATTCAAGTAATTAGTATCCGATTAATGAACAAGAAGTGAGGTGATGCTTTGTAATATTTCCGTTTTCACTGCCCTAAAAAAAAAAAAAAAAAAAAAAAAAAATCAGTCAAAGTAAATCTAGCAAACTACATCAATTATTATTTTACCCACTCTTCTTGACCAACAGATATTTTCATGAGTCACTTTGGAAAGGAACTTGCTGGTTTCACATTAATGTCAAACCCAACAATTCATTGAAATTGTTACCCTTTTCAAAAATTAACATCAATTTCATTAAAAAATAAATAAATAAAATAAGAAAAAACAAATTCATTAAAATTAGGAACCATGAAAAATATGTGATACCTATTTATATTGTTTAAACTGTTGATCCACAAAGACACATGGCCCAGTGGATATTGGTTGGAGCCAGTGACTTGACCCAAAGAGTTACGAGTTCAATAGCTACTGGCTACTGCAGTGGTGAACAAAAACTTAGAGTTGTGTTAAAGGGAAATAACAGAGACATCTGGAAGAGGCATGGCACAATCTACCCTGGTGGATGAAATAAAGGATTCAGTTCGAAATTACAATCACCTGAATAAGTCCGGAGCGTACAATGGCTGAAACACGAACATGGCAACAAAGATGAGGACAACAGTCCAAACAATGTAAATAGTGTAAATAATTACAATACCACATCTCAGAAATATAGATAGATGTGTGATACCTCGTTAAAATTAATTCTAAAAAAAATGTAAAAATTTTTCTTGAAGAGTTAATTTTAATTCCAAGTTAAATTTAATATTTCCAATAAGTAAAATATTTCAGTATATTTAAAAATGAATTTAAATTGATTGGAATCTTTTTCTCTACTTGCTTATATTGACAAATCTGTCAGCAAAATATCTTTCAAAAATAAAAACTTTTCTGAAATATTATTTGAAGAAAATTAGCTGAGTTAAAGTTTAACTAATCTGAAATGAAGCAAATATTACTTTTACTTTAAAATATACCAGAAATGCATTTTTTCAACATGGTGGTGTATTTTTCTTCTGACATGTTGAGTGATTTATTGATAGCCTGATGTTTGCTAGATGTAAGCATGACGGGTAGGACAGGACTGAAATAAATTACTTGATGATGAATACAATGTGAATGCTTTTGATATATATATATATTTTTTTTTTAAGTACCCAGTCATTTTGAATATTTAAGAAAATATTTTAAACAATCAAATATTTTATTGAATTTTAGGTACTTTGCCTACAAAGATATTTGTTGAGAAAATGTTAGAAAATTAACAATAAATTTTTAATTTGTTTATTGCCTGATAATATTGTGTATGGATGTTTGTTTTTACAAAAATCAACATGTTTATACCCCAACACAAATTAAATTTAAAAATTTCTTAGTTTTATTGAATTTTTATTAAAATTAGGGGTCCTGTTTGATTCCAAAATTTTGATGATTTAAGTAATCCGAGGACTTCTCCCTTATAACCAATAAAAAAAAGGATTTCTTGAAATTCCATTAGAATTAAATGAGTGTGCGCGTGTGTGTGTGTGTGTGCGCGCGGGGTAGAGTGGGGGGTTGGTGGTTCACAGGTGTAAAAAAAAAAAAAAAATTTTTGCTAAGATTTTCTAGAAAAATGTTTAAAAATAATGTTCATTTCTGAGTAAGTCCTGAAAGGTTAATTTCATTAAAATTCAACTATTATCCATTTTTTGTAAGAATTTCCAAATCAATGTGTTTTTCCCCCTGTACAAATTTATGGTCCCTCATTGATACATAAAAAATCCATTTTCTTCTGTTTTAATAATAATGAAAGTTTTTATGGCAAAATTTGTTTTTATCATGTTTTGGTCATTTTTCTATGATGTAGCCACCTGTTTTAGCAAATTTTTGGAGGTACCTAATTAAAATTTTTAAAAAGTACCTAATTAAAATTTTTAAAAAGTATTGGTAGAGTTTGAAAAAATCTCAAGGCCTGGTATATGAATAAGGTTGTTAATATATATTACTTGTAAGAACTGCCAAGTGTAGATTTCCAAAAAATAATTTTGTTTTTTAACGATCTTTCATATATAAAAATTATATGCGTAAAATGGATTGCAATTTTCTATTAAAAATATTGCTTGTACACTATCATATTAAACTTGACATTTTTTGATTATCATTTCATTTAATAACATTTTATAGAAAATCATTTCAGAAGTATCTAAGGAAAATAATAATGAATTTTCAAACATTAATTATTTTTTTTAGCCAAATTCTTATTATATTCCGAGTTTATTTTTAGTGTTTCTGAAGTTTCAAGAAAAATTTCTGATTTAATTTCTCCAAGTACTTATGAATATAAATATTTTGTGTTTGAAAGATATTTTATTGATTTCACAAGATTAAAAAGTGATGTCATGGATTTAAAAATAATTTCCACAAATCTATCCTATAAAATGGCCTTTTCATAAATGAATAAATTTCAGTGAAATCCAATAGTGAGCACATTTTGGTAGAATTTAAAAAATATAATTGTTTTTTGTGTCCTAAAACAAAATTCCTCTAGTAAAATCATTCTTTGTTAGAGTTAATGCATCTTTTGAAAAATCTATGGTTCTATATGATGGACACAAGTTGGTTTGGATTTAAAATTCTGAGGTGTGTGTATATATATATATATATATATATATATATATATATATATATATATATATATATATATATATTTATATATATTATATATGTATAAAATTCTGAGATTTCATATAGTCTTCTTAGTAATGGCACAAATGATAAGATTAACTTTTATAAAACTTTTTCGTGAAAACGTATTTGTTTTGATGAAAAGTTTTAATAAAAATTTAATGAATGTAAAAAAATCTTACCTGCATTTTCTTTAATGCAAAACCCATGAGATTTCGAATTTTACTGCCATAATTCACAGTCATGTGGACAGCATGTTCATGCAATTTGAAGCAAGGTTCTTCAATTTCCTCGAGTGGACTAACTTCACCTTTTGTATAATGTTCCATTGTCACCTACAAACAAAATACAGATATTTCATCATTCTTTATTACCAAAGATGACAAGATTACATTATAATTTATGAAACTGATTTTATTAAACTACAAAAAGCCACTTCACCCAAGGACTTTCAACAACAGCAACACCTAAAATGGATAGTATACAATTTGAAGTGAAAATGTGACATAATCAAGATGTTGATGTTTCACACTACTTCAAACAAAAGGCTAGGACCAACACTGGAAAGAGCAACAAGTTTCTTTACTTACACACACAGAGGGTGACCGAATAGTAACTCCCTATTTTATATATGATGGACTCTTCCCATCTAATTATAATTTTTACAATACAGGAGATTTTGAACCTAAGCCTAATCTTTAAACTAGTTTCCTCAAAAAAACACAATGAATGGAAGGAAAAAAAAAAAGAAACAACTCATTTATCATGTCAAATCCAAACTTTAAAATTGAGTGCAATACCACAGTTCCAAAATTAACCTGCCCTAATACCTATATGCAATAACGAGTGACACAGGGAATTTTAAAAGATGATTTTTTAACAAAAACAAAAGGGATCTTTTATAAAAGAACATTAAATGCACTAGTTGCTCACTGTAATGAGACTGATGACAATTTCTTTAGGTAAAAAATGCTAATTAGCTAATTAAAAGAGAAAACAATTTATTAAGATGAAAATACTAACAAAGTACTTTAATCACAAGATCATCCATGGTTATTTTGCATCCAGAGTCTAACAACCTTTCACTTCTCTTTGCATATTTTCTATTATCACAACGTTGGATATTTAATAACAAAAGTGATGGTAACACAAAGAAAAAGAATCAAAATGAAATTGGCTAGATTATATACCAAAAACACATATAAAAAAAAAAATGTTTAAATTTAAAATGCACAGTGTCGCTCAAACATGGACATGTGTAGTTGTATCAATGTAAACATAAATTTAGTCTGATGAAGTTCTAAAGGCTGAAGTGTCACATGAAAATTTTTTGTACTTTGCCATACATATTTTTCTAAAATAGTTCTTGATATATAAAAATTTATATATCATTATCCCATATACAGTGAAAAGTATGTCCACATTTTAAATTACTTAATGTAGGTACATGAGCGAGCAATCATATGCAAAAACATAAATACTTTATATACTTTATAGTGTAAGAAAAAACAGTGTTCAATGTAAAGTAACAGAGCTATTTAATATATATATATATATATATATATTTATTTTAAGACATTTTATGTTTATACATTCTTTTTATAGATACAAATATTTAAGTAAATGCTCTCTTTATAATAAACAGTATTAAACAACTGGCCTGAATATCCAAGAAATTTTCATAGAAAATATTCATCCTCCGACAGGATTCAAACCTGTATCTTATATGGAACCATCATATAGCCTGATGTACCTTTTAACCAATTCCACCACAGAGGATCGTTCGGTTAGCAAGATCAAAATTTACTGCTTTTAAACTTCAATCATCCATGAATCACTCACGTACATTCATATCTGCTCATGGTGTATCAAATGTAAACAAATGACGTCACACATGAAATGGACAAAGTCTGACAATTATTTTAAGACATTTTATGAAAATTTCTTGGACATTCAGGCCAGTAAATGTTGTTTAACACTTTATTATAAACAGAGCATTTACTTAAATATTTGTATCTATAAAAAGAATGTATAAACATAAAATGTCTTAAAATAATTGTTGGATTTTGTCTATTTCATTATATATATATATATATATATATATATATATATATATATTACAGGAATCATTCATACAAAAAACAGATATAGAAGTTAATGATATAAATGGTGAGAATACATCTTCACAAACAAATTTAATAAAGTACATTAACCCCGAACATGTAGATGAATGTTATGATCCCTGTTTATAAATTCCAGTTGCATAAGGTCTTTTATTTTTTTACAAGCTTTCATCTATGCATACAGACATCATCAGGTATGGAAATAGATTTGTTTTTTACATCCCGGTACAAAAGAATTCTCCTATTACCATATTAGTACAAAAACGCACAATCTTAAAATTTAAAAATTCAACCTCAGCGTTGCGACTGCACGCTCCAAAAAAAAATTTAATACAATTCACAATAACACATTTCTAAAAACATATTTCGGATTACATCTATTCTTTCAGTGTCCTGTTATTACTGGGAAGTAAAAAACAAATCTAGCCATCATTCATCGAAATGTAGTTCTCTTTATTAAAAAAAAATCTTCCAAAAATAGACTTTTCCAACATATTTGAGGAATATTAGCTGATTTAATGTTTAATTAATCTGATCTGAAACAATTATTACTAATCTTAAGTTTAAAATATCACAGAAATGCATCTTTTAGTATGGTGGTAGTTGTTTATTTAATCTGTTGAGGAGATGAAAGCTTGATGACAGACGGATGCTTATCTAATGTTCTAATGGGGCTTTATCTGTAAAAAAAACAAAAAAACTGAATATAGTGAAAGTGCCTTTTCTGTATAATTTTTAATGGAGGAAAATATTTTCTGTAACCTAATGTTTAAATTGAATTTTAGATACTTTGGCTTTAATCCGCAAAAATCAGCTCGTTTATTCACACACAAATTTTTTTTTTTTTTTTTTAAATAGTGAGACTTTAAGCTTTATGATTAGTAAATACAGTTTTTTTACTTAATAACAATATCGCCTAACCATTACACCATGGAATCAGAATTTTACAAACTTTATAAATTATTCCAATTCATATTTTTAAAAAAAACAAAAACATTACCGATTGGGAAAAAAAAAAAAAGAACAAACAACAACAATATAATTTCCTTATCTTATTCATAAAAAAAGCTTCTCTAATTCTTAGTTTTATTGCATTTTTTTATTTTAACGATTCAGAGCAGATTTTCAGTAAGAAAATACTTTGGCCTTTTCTCTTAAAAATAAAGATTTTGACAAGAAAACTTTGTTTTTATCAAGTTTTGGGCAATTTTTCATTATGAATGTTTTTTCTTCTGCGAATCTTCAGTGATACCTGGGGTTGTCTCATAGTGGCACTATCAAAATAATAATTTCCCTGAAAAATTGTTTTAAGAGATAGATCTTTATAAAATACTATCGAACGTAGCTGTTCGGTCAATGAATACTAAATTTTCCTTAGATGGAAACGGCTAATATTACCATTATAATACGTACTTTTGCTAAAATATTTTATAGGAAATTTTAGATCTTCAATGTCGACACATTAACTTATCTCCCTTACATCGAGTATATATATATATATATATATATATATATATATATATAATTATTTATTTAAAAATATGATTCCAAATCGCTACATAAGAGGTCTCATGTTTCAAAACAAGAGCCGAAAACTTCAATATAATCCTTTAAATTAAATTGAGTTTAAATTAAAATGGGCTCCGTTCCATATTCAAGCGAAATTTTTGTTGAAAAATTAGTTAGTTTATGAAAAACTAGGTAATCCGTATGGGTAAAAACCTAAGGAGGATAAAACCGTCAAAAATGTGTAAATTTTCTTTTCATTTTTTGTTTGGAAGTAAAGTCTGATGATCCGCAGTCCTTTTAAAAGGGCTATGGTGAAATAATTTATTACATGGAACCTTAAAATTTATTTAAATTATATATATATATATATATATATATATATATATATAAGGGAGATAATTCGTTGTTTGAAATTTAAGAAGAAATATTTCACGGCACGCAAAACGAAAATGCCTCGAAGACGCAAGAGTGAAAGAGCCTGAGGAAAAATGAAAATTTTAAAGGAAAGCGTAAAGTAAACGAACCGGAAATAAGTAGAAAGGTGAAAACGATATTGCCATTGCAATTATTTAAAAGTTTTAACGATCAAGGTTGATGGGAAAGGTAGAGAATTCCACAAGCGTCGAGTAAAAATACGTTTGTGTTTTTCTTTTTAGTTTTTAACAAAATGTTTCTAAATAAATTGAAATGTACGGAAAAGCAAATCATAGCTCAGTAAACCAGTACAAGCGATTTTTTTAAAATTAAAAAGTACATATTTATTTATTTTTGTATAAATACAAAAAGTGTGGTACAAGGCTAAAAGTGAGGATGGTGAATGCTGGTATTCATCTCTCTTCTTTTAAAAACTTAGCTAGCCACAAGCACTGACCCAAACAAACTAGACACTTGCACCAAAACACCACATTCTTACTACAACCACCATAATACCGCAACAAAGTCCTAACAAGTCCCATATGTAAAAATAAAATATGTTTGTGGGGGAGTGGGGAATAAAAATAACTTTTAAAAATGAAAACATGAAATTGAAATATTTACACTCAAAACAAAACACTTAAAAACTAAAAGTAGATTAAAAAAAAAAAAGCTAACTTCCTTATAAAACAAAAAAGTGGTGTAATTGTGAAGGAAATCTTTTTAAATTCTTGCAATATTTCCCTGCTCACAGGTATTGATAAATTCTTCCCAAAATAAATAAAACAAGTTTCATGCATGTCTAAAGCACATGTGGTGCGCCTAAATGAAACTTTTTGGAAGACAACGATTCGAGGAACAAAAAAGAAAAGAAAATCCGAATACTTTTTTTCAATAATAAATCTACCATCAATAATCTACTGATGCTTAGTATACACGTACAAAACAAAGTATTGGGGAATGAAAACGTAAAAATTAAAAAAAAAAAACTACTAACTTTGATTTCACTTAGTCGTGGACAAATTTCACCGGATTATCACCGCTACACGTGCCATAGTTAACGGAAGTACGTCACATAGCTTCCGGTTCACTTACAAATGTAAGGGAGATAACTACCTCTCGAAGTTAACGATTTTCGTTTGCTATTATTAAATTATAAATCAATTTTCTGTAATTGTTATATATTATATAAATTAATTATATATTATCATATAAATAGTATAAAATTATATAAACGAAATGCAACAAGCTTTACTTTAAACGACTTTTTCTAATGTTTCTTTCGAGTTCAATCGACATCATTATTTTTTTTAATTACTTTAGTTTAACACTCTCCCTTCGTGCAGGTTACAATGGATTCTCCTGACTGATATTCATTGCCCCTGCTAAGGTCTTTTGATTTGCTTACTGTGTCTTCACATAAATATTGAATTTACGATCTTAGTGCGTCAATATTGTGGTGTCTAAAAATACAGACGCACATCGCCGATGAGCCCAGCCTTATTTTTTCAGGAATGCCTTGCAAATAACGTTTTCCTGGGAGATGAGACATAGAAGGTCACATGTTTATTTTGGTGTGCTGTCTTCCAGATAAATTTAGAGCAAGTGCGCAGTATATTTATTTATTTATTTATGTACCATCTAATCTCTCTCCAGGTGCTATTGTTAATAATGCTTTATGATACCTTGCTTCCATACAATATGGCAGTGATCTGGAAGAAGATGTGTTCATGCTGACAGGTAAATTTGAGAAGTGAATTCCAATGACAATGACAATATCATGGTTATAGGATTATGGCAATTAAAATAAATTAATTTGGAATCATCTCATCTTTCAAGGATTTCCAATATTCCAGGTAACATTCCTTTATGTATAGCGTTGTTTTTCTTGTATTGAGAAGTTATTTAATTGACTTGAAATTCACTCTACTTCCGATGATCAATTTTATTTTAAAATTTTAAATGGTGTAACCAAAGTGCTTCATACCATTTTAACAATTACATGTCTCCACCAGTTTATATTTCAAGTCTATCTATAACTTTTAAAATTATGTTACATTTATTTTTCATTTTCAAATGTCGCCTTTTCTATATCGTGACAAATTTTTATATGTTCTAAATTTGTTGCTATATTATTGATGTTTATTTTTTATTTTATTTTATTTTTCTTAGTTTAAACTTAATGCTTCCAATATTTGTAGTTAGTTCTTTTTTTACGATTTATATGATATAGTATTTTTGATTTGTACGAATTTGCCGGATTTTTTCTGCTGGTTGGAGAAGAGGCCAATGCAAAGGTCTCGTGCCCCCTTCCTCCCTCCACCGAATCTATGATACGGGACGCACCACTCTATTACATCTCAATTTTCATACGATAGTATTTATATAAAATACAGTGTAACCCGGATATAAGAGACCCGGATATAACAGAAACCCGGATATAAGAGCGATTTTCTCTGGTCCCAAATTAGAGCCCATACTTACCTAAACAAAATAGACCAAACCCAGATATAAGAGACTTCTTCTCCGGTCCCGACAACTCTCTTATATCCGGGTTACACTGTACAAATTTTATTGTAAGCTAATTATGCATAATAATGTATCATATGCAATATAGCTGAACAATTCAACTAGAAAAAAAATGAAAATAATATACAATGTATCGAAATACAAATTAGAGACATGTTAATATAGGGGTGGCCAAACTTGTTTAACGGAAGAGCCACATACGATAACGTTCAGATGTCTGAGAGCCGCAAGACATGAACAAAATTCACATATCGGTTTTTATTACATACACATTTTGTTACAAAATTTTTTATATAAATATTAAGCAATGCATGTATGTAATAATATTTATGTATGATGTGTTTTTTTTTTTTTAATTGATTATTTTTATTGATTTCAGTAATTACAGCGTACGCATATACCAAATGTTGTCAAGATCTTGACTGAAGATTGTTTTAATTATATTGAGCGTACGATAATGAACTACGGGCACTTCTAAGAGAAATGTGCGAATTTGCATTTCAGTAGCATAAAATTAGACTGCCAAAAATAACACTAAAATGGAAAAATATGTTCAATGATATTTATTTGTCTTAGTAAATATCTGGTCAAAACATGGAGGAAAATATGTAAAAAAAGTAAACCAATAAAATTAGTGATATTTTAATAAGATACCACCTTACAAAATTACAGTATTATCATAATATTTTTATGACAAACATACTATGCTACAAATATCAAGCTATTAAAGCCGCTATTGACTTTTAGTAGAGATCTTGTGGGTCACCATCTTGGCTGTGAGTTGTTGAAAATCTGGCTGTTATATTGTCAAGGCTGTAGGAATTAGCTCCATCGGCTTTTGGTTTGTAAGAATTGCATGATGCTCCAACTTCACAAACTTCATTACAGAGTACAGTGATTCATGGCAGTACATCGTGCTGAAAAATTGAGATAGGTCGCCCACTAGTTTTCTTCAGTTCGGGATAATTTATTTCTGGAACTTGATTCCAGAACTCACTTGTAGACTGGGATTTATGGATCATATTTAAACCCAGGTAATCCTGTAATTCTATTAGTTCCATTTCCACTGCAGATAATCCCATAACCAGAGTTTCGAGAATTGGACATCCATCATTGGCCACATCAACCATGAAGGGATTTACCAGAAAAACGAAGTAGGGCAAGTCCTCAAACCTGGCTCGGAAATCATCACGCAGTCTTTGTAATTTATCTTTGTATTTTTCCAGTTTGTGGTCTGTTATTTCAATGTCACTGAAGACATTTACTCTCCTACTGAGATTGGGAAAGTGACTGAAGTTTCTTGTCAGTATGTCTCTTTGAAAAATCTTATTCTGAAAGCTGAAAATTGTCTGAATAAGATCAGAAACAATCTTAATATTCCCCTGGAGTGCCAAGTTGAGAGTTTGTAGATGATTCATTATATCAATAAGGAACATCAGACCTCACATCTATTCATCATTTTCCCGTTGAGGATAGGATATTTCCTTTAAGGAAAGTAATAATAGGCTTCAACAGAATATTGTGTTCCATAAAATTCTGTTCCAAACATTTAGATTTCGGCATTAAATAACCCGTAGAGGTTAATATGCCGCTAAACAAAACCAAACAAAAAAAAACAACCAACATGAAATAACTTTTGTATGATATTAATCCATATAATATCCTACAGTTCCTTAAAGAAATCAAATTGTATTCCAAAATATAACTTCAACAAAACTACAACACAAAATGCACATATCACCGCCTCTAGTAATCTTGCCCATACAAACATGTATATGAATAAAAGTTGAGTATCATCTACCATGTATTCAATTGTGAAAGTAGAATAACATATATCATATTTTTTATTACTTAAAAAAGCTTTCAAGAAAATTAAATTTCGTCATTAAATGACCCATAATGTGTTTATATGCCGTTAAACAAATCAATCAATATTGCTTCTTCTATGGCCTCTATCAATGCCAAGTATTAAACATCACATGTTGACAGTGCTACAGTTTATTATTTCTACTTTACTGTGAAATCAATGATATATTCTATGATAATTGAAAACTGCATCCAGATATATTTTTTATGATTTTGGATGATCCCCAACCAGCATCACAAAATCCGACCAACCTTAATGGAGAATTAGATTTTTTAAAATTTTAAATTATCATTAATTTTTCCTTTGAGATATATTAAAGTATATATAGCTATATTTAGAATGGCATTAGCAAAATTTTAACTAGTGTTGTGATAACTTGGTAACAGTATAGCACAGGTCTGGTCGTGTACATATCATCAAGTATATTAGACTGCCAAGAATATCCCTATGCAATTTTGAGTTTATTAGTTTGACGGAATCTCCATCGAGGATTTTGATGGCACTAATTTCATATGGTTTTGTTTTTGATTTACAATCCGTCATATTGCATTTTTGTAGCACTCTTTTTATATAGCTCATTTGAGTGATTTCAACATAATTATCTCTCCATTTGTATCCAATACCTAGAAACCATGATAGTGTTCATAAATCTTTCATTTTAAATCTACTGCACATTAAACTTTTGATTTTTTTGACTATGGCGACAATCATGATGTCGTTAACCCAAATAATGATTTCGGTTAATTTATTTATGACTTTATAGCAAACGTATGTGTCAACCAATGATTGTTTAAAATGTTCGTTCATGAGATGTTTCTATTGCATGCTGTTCAAGTTTCTCCCACTCTGTTCCAATATATATAAAGATTTTTTTCATTTATTTAGTATATTTCGTAACCCCCTGGTTGTTTCAGATAGATTTCGCAATCAATGGGTGAATTTAGGTAAGTGCTCTTTGCATCCGTCTGATGAACAGTGAGATACTTGTCTATAGCAAGCTGTTTCAATATGCGTTCAGATGTAATACACGCTGTAGGCGAGAATGTTTCCTGATACTCAATTTCAGATATTTGAGAGTAACCTTTCGCCCCATACTCTGCTTTGTGTTTCTCTACTACATTTGACAGCATATACGCATCGCTCTTCCACTCCTGATCGGTTTTCAGGTAGCGGTGAAAATTCATAAGTATCAGTGTCTTAAAGGGTTGCCATTTCTTGTTCCATAGCTTTCTGACACTTTGTAGGTAATTTTCCTGGTTGCGCGTATGTATGTGCACGGCAGAGAGAGTGGAATGAACAAAACCCAATGCTGTAAATAACTGTTTAACAGCTTTTATTTCTGGTTGAAAGAGAGTGAAAAATAGTAGTATTCTTCGGGAAAAAAAGTGGGGTTTTTCAGTAAACAAATTTCTTGAATAGATATTTTGTAGAGAAGTATTTATTCACTAGTTCCCACTGGAGGAGCGAGAAATTTGAGGCTGAAACTGCTAGAATTGATATGAGTCTTCTGCAGCAAGGGTTGTGTGAGTTTTTTTTCCTTTGGGTAGGTGTCTCTAAGGAAGATTTTTCCGCCTGTTCCCAAAGGAGGAACAAGAATTCTGAAGTCAAGCTGCCATGATAGGTCTCGTCATCTGCAGCAAGGGTTGAGTAGCCCTTCGAGCTGAGCTTGAAGGCAGAGGCCACTGAAAAGGAGAATGGAAAAGAGACGGCCATGAAGGTAGAGGCCGCTGAAAAGGAAAAGTGGGAAAGAGGCCGAATAGGTCTTAGCATTTTTATGGGTTCTGGGACTTCCGGTTGTACCCTGCTTATTATTTCTGTTGCTGCTACTGTTGAATCAAGGAAAGTAAGGAAGCCCCCGCATACCACAATACCCAACAAGTGAGATAGTTTCTATAACTTTTCGTATTCTTGAGTTGATTTCGCTTTTCTTTGTGCCATAGAGATATCTGTCATTCTATAACAGTAGTCAATGTTGTAGTTGATACTGTTTTCTTGAGTGACGTAGTTTTCACTGTAAGCATATTGCCTTGGTTCTCTTCTTGGATATCTGATAGTGTTGATATTTTCTTCGTTTTGTTCACATTTTTCTTTTTGATTTGGTACTTTGTACCTTATATATTCCTCCTCTTCTGGCCTCACATTTGTTTCAGGGTACTTTTCATTACGTAAACCTGAGACACATTTATTCCGGAGTAGTCGTCCACAAAAGAATGTACATATTTAAAGCCGTTTTTTACAATGTGCTTTATCGGACCGGCAATATCGCAACGAATTAACTCCAGTAGATTATAGGTAAACCCTTTTAAAACTATGGCCGTATGGAGAGCATCGCTTATATTTTCTCCTACGAACTTGAGAGAATTTGCTCTGATAACGTCGTCCGTTAGACTTTCTTCTATTGTCTTGTTTAATGTTGTCAATTCTGTATAAAGGGCAATGACACATAGTTTTCCTGTCCCTAAGTAATATGCCCTTAAAATCTGCAAAGCTTTTCTGTCCTCATTTCTTGTTACCCTTACGATAAGAGATAAACTTCTATCACCCGAGCACAGAATTAGCTCTGTTAACGCATCGTCATTTTTGCTTTCGTCTGGCTACCACTTTCTTTCAATGTCAATTTTTGTGCAAATCTGTGCAAAAAGTGGATCACAGAGCTTTGATATTTTTCTCACTTCTCATTGGTCAGTTAATATTTAAATCATATTCTCAACTACGTCCGAATAACATCGACCTACTTCCTGACCTGAACAAAAATACAATTCCAGCAAAAACTGTCTATGCCTTCCGGAGCCTGTCACGTGACTAAAAAAAAAACAAATAAATTGAGGATACGAGTGAACCTCGCCAGTGAGAATTTATGAACGACTAGCGTTTGCTAAACTGGTCCACGACGCTTGTATCAGTGAAGTACAAATTAGAATTTTAATTTCTCCAACACGAAATAACTTCATTGTAATTCGAGTTAAAACATTCAACTCAACCACTCACTCACCAACTTCTTCTGGAACTTACTGAAAACTTCTCAATCACAGTATTGAATCTTAACAGAAACTTGAATGTTATAGAACATTACAAGCAACAGAAACTTAATTACAAACATTACGGAACATTCACTCCTTCATCTCTTCCGAAGCTAAAAGTTTATCAACATATTCTCAGCTTTACAGAATTCTTTCAACAGTCTCAACATTCTGTGAGCTCAGATAAAAAATATTTCATAGGAAATACTTTAATTCCAGTCAAAGAGAAGTAACTCTTATTAATTATGCTTGTATATCATTGACATACACAAATATAGATATTGTTTGTTCTTGTTATAAAAACAAATTTTCGTGTTGTTTCTCTTGTTTTCTTTTCGCTTGCTTATACATTTGTAAAGAATGTACGGGTTGACTTAGGCCGACAACACCGCTACGTTCAATGCTTGGACGATAGAAGTATATCTCTTATCATGAGAAGCAAGAAAGGATGGTAGAAAAGTTTTGCAGATTTTAAGGACACATTACTTGGGAACAGGAAAACTACGTGTCATTACCTTTTATCCGGGAAGAATTGTTTCCAGAGGTTTTTGCAGTCTCAGGTCCCAATAGTTCAAATTTGCTTTCATCGCCGTCAAAATATATCCTTCTATCATTCTAGTGCCTATAACATGTTAACATGTCGGTGGAAACTATAGCAGAAATAGATAACTGTTATAACCTAAGGAAGGTTACTGTACAGAATAATCACACCAATGTTGGTAATGAACGATAATACTTAGAACAAGAACAACACATATAAGATTTGCCAGCGGCGCGTAGAAGTAATCGTCAACTGCTAGAAGTGAGATAAGTAAATTCCACAATGAATCCCCAATCTCAGGATATCTACCAACCGCCTCACGCGGTCAGATAAGGCGCAATGCCAAATTCTATGTGGGGTATCCGAGCCCGTAGGCTTGGCCAAAAATTCCCCGTATACTCCATATAAAACGGGATCGGGTAGCTATTTCCCAAAATGAGACTCTGCCCTTGACATAGCCTCGTCTGGGGATCCTCTCTGCCCGGATGTGGAGAGTTTGGCCAGCACAGCTGGAAATTAATCTCTAACTTCAAATCACCATACAGTGTTTACTACCGTATTTATGCGAATGGGGACATACCCATTATCGTCCGTAGGTATGCTACACCAATAGCAGAATGGCAGTATACAATAGCTTGTAGTAATATTTTTGCTATATTCTAAAAACATGGAAGGTGGTTGTGTAAGTTTATTTTCAGGAATAAAGAGTTACAAAAAAAATGTCAGTAAAAGGGAATTAATCAACAGGAGCTTTTGTAAGGGTAATCTCCCCTTTATTCTAACTACACGATTTTATGTTTGTTTTAACAGCACACACACACACACACACACACACACACACACACACACACACACACATATATATATATATATAAATACCAAATCGGAGACTTCAGAAATCCATGGTAATAATTTATATTTAGTGAGACCGATAAAATTCGGTTTCGCTTCGTCAGACCTTGCGGTTTCAAAACAATAAGTGGATTCAAAGGTTCTTCTAAGAATCAACCGACAAGCGAAATGAAAAAAAAAAAAGAAGATTAGCGGAAGTTGTATTTTAAAATAGTTACATAGAGTTGGAAGGGGAGGAGGGAAGTATATGTCTCTAGTCTAGGAGATACGATGGTTGTGGCGTTGACCTCTCATTCACCGGACAAGAGAAAGGAATAAAGGAAAAGGTAGAGGCAGTGAACAGAAGAGAGGAAGGGAGAAATCTACACAGATCCCCACATCTACATACATACGCATTTTTCTATATACACATATAATTACACTTACAAATATATGTAATGCATACACACATTCGCATTCATCTATACATAGATGTGTGTTTTTACGTAAATATGTCCACCCATACGTATGTATACACACACATACACCCATATTCATCTATTTATCTATTTGTATTCATAAACACATATGTACATATTTGACTAGTACATTACGTAATCAGTACTTAGATAACATATAAGATGCCCTCAAATACATTACTGATCGTGTAGCTACAAAAGAGGCACTTAAGAGTGTTTTCATCAAGTGACCCCAGATATATAAACAACGCTTAATCTATGCACCTACTTATGAGAGAATACAACATACAGCACACGAATACACGCGTACTTATTTACACAGACGGGGCTGCACATGCTTGCGTGTACAAAAACTATGTCCCAACACAGATACAAAAGCAAAGAAGTACCATAGTATGCTTGTGTATACACGTACATGAAGAAGAGAGATATGTCAGCATTAGATGCCTAGGTGAGAGGGTTTTTCTTAAGTGAGGTCACATGAGATGAAGGGAGGGGGATTTCCATGAAGGATTCTACATACACACACACACACATGCATATATATATATATATATATATATATATATATATATATATACCCAGACACACACACACACACATATATATATATATACGCACACACACACACATATATATCTATCTATCTATCTATATATATATATATATATATATATATATATATATGCATTTCCTCAGACATGCATATACCCATATACCTATCCACCGACATATATATATATATATATATATATATATATATATGCAAAATGCATATAAAGCACCCGAAACCCAAGTTTGGGTTAATCTTCATGATTCTGGATTTCTAAAGTAACATCAATTTTCAAGAAGATTAACCCAAACTTGGGTTTCTGATGCTTTACATGTACTTGTGCATGCGTATATATATATATATATATATATATATATATATAATGGACTCTCCCATCGGTTTCGGCGTATGAGGATCTGCTAGCTTATTGATTCAGTTATGAAAGTTTGTACGATAATCTTAAGTGGCATTTAAGACCCGCAAGTGATTTACAAAGGAGGTCGCATATGGAGCAAGTGCGAGGATTGTGAGATGAGATCACTGTTAGATTGGTTGACCTTTTAGATCTTGCTCTCGCTTCTTGAAGATGATTCAGACAAGCAGATTGAAAATTGCTGAGTCCACTAAAACACGTTGATCTTCATTCTACTCGCTCCAAAGCTAAGCGCTCAAGGGTATTATGTGGTATATTAACCGCTGACATGTTGCTTTTCAGCTTGTCTTTGTATCTTAGCCATGGGCGTCCTACATTCCTGTAGCC